TGGAAAGGCTACATTTTGAAATGTATTAATAAAGAGTCAGAGGAATGAAAGACACAAACTAATAATTTTCTGTCACTTCATTCTAATAGATTTAAATGCACTTCTGAAGTAAAGGGAAGGTAAAAGAATAGGAAGTTCATAATAACCTGTACTTGAAGAGTCTATTCTTTACTATCCAGGAAGGAATTAAGTAGGTTACAGACTAATCAGTGCTCAGGCCCAACAGAGGGTGGGGATAGCTCCACCTCTCCCACTCCCCTCCCCCAGCTCTGGCCTCCGCAGGCACCTTCAGCCAGCATGGGTCCCTAGAAGGTAGGCTGACCAGGCCTGCACTCATCACCCTGGGTCTCAACTGCACTTTAACTGTGGTTAATATGCAAACTGCTTAATCAGCAGATAATAAAGAAGCAATTGTACTTTGTATGAGTGAGGTCTACTCATTGAAGAGACTTCATTTTTATTTGTTTTTTACTTGTCAAGGCAACTTTAACTGGGCAATGACAGAGTACTTTAAAATCTGACAGTACATTATATATCGTTGCTTTGGGAATTCTAAATATTTAAAACTTCTTTCATGCTTTCCAACAAAATATTTATTTATTTAATGATTGATTGAGATGGAGTCTCACTCTTGTCACCCAGGCTGGAGTGCAGTGGTATAATCTTGGCTCACTGCAACCTCTGCCTCCCAGGTTCAAGCGATTCTCCTGCCTCAGCCTCCCAAGTAGCTGGCATTATAGGCACCTGCCACTACATCCGGCTAATTTTTTGTATTTTTAGTAGAGACAGGGTTTCACCATGTTGGTCGGGCTGCTCTCGAACTCCTGACCTCAGGTGATCCACCTGCCTCTGCCTCCCAAAGTGCTGGGATTACACGTGTGAGCCACCCTCCAACAAAATTATTACTGTGGAAGAGCTAGATTTTTGAAATTATAAATACAAAATTAGAGAAATGAAAAACAGAAAGTAATGATTTTGTCATTTAATTCTGAAGAGTTTAAATGCACTTCCGAAGTAAATGCTTCCCATTAGTCTTGCACAGTATACCTAGACACTTCTGTCTGCCGGCTTCTCCTTTAAGGAATTAGCCTTTTCCTTCTCCTTCTCTATACCTATAATTTTATTTATCTGTAATAATAGACAGAGGTGCATTAACTTTTTTAGTCTCAATACTAGAGACTTAAAAAGTTAATGCACCTCTTTCAAAATTTTTCCTCCTTTTTCCAAGTTATTATTTTGAAATTGTTCACACAAGTAAAAAAGTTGAAAAACTGTATAAAGAATACCCCATGTACCTTCCACCTGGATTTGACAATTAACATTGCTATATTTGCTTTAAGTTTACCCACATGCATTTTGGCTGAACTATTTGGAAATAAACAGCTGAATTAATGATTGTTTAATTCCTGAAAACTTCAGCATGCATACCCAGTATTCTCTGAGTAGGTTCAATAAGTTAGCAGTGTTAAGCTAAGAAAATAATCAATGCTAAAATTACCATTGCTGGGAAAATTATCAACAACTTCTTATATACAGAGATATCTCCAAAACATTTTCAAATGCCCCCAACAGTCCCTAAAATGTCCATGCCTTTTATTTCCCCCTCGTGCCAGGTTAAAATCTCTTGCCAGGTTATCCTGGATTTGTGTGGCCCTGAGCAGTGTTAAATGCTCATTAAACATGCCGGCTCCACAAGGAATCCCTTTGCGGTTATTCTGTGCTCATGAAAGACAGCAACTTCCTGTTTTTACATTATCAACTTAAAGTTCACTTTGAAGGATTTTTTTAGGGTGCCCTCTGCTCTCCTTTCCTCTGATGGGTCTACAGAAGTGTTCATGACATCCACAGAGGCATTTTTTGAGTTGGAAACAACAGCTGACTATAAGAACATTAATTTCCTCTCAAAAATTATCTTTGTCTTCTATTTCTGTTCACAAATTCTCAGTTCTGAGTAAATGTTGCTCCTCCAGTCGACCTCAGTAAGTAGGTCTTGGTAACAGTTAATAGGCAATGATGTGAGAACCCTCAGAAGCCATTCTGTAGCACCACAAACACTTGCATTTTACTTTAACGCTGATGTGCAGAAGTTGGGTGGTAGAGTAACCATGGTGGTAATGGTGGTGGTAGTGGTGGTGGAGGTGATAGTGATGATGGTAAGGCCATGGTGATGGTAGTGGTAGTGGTTCCAACTTCAGGCCCTTGACCCGTAACAAGTTAACATGCAGAAATATAAGCTACAATTAGGTTTGATCAGGAATTCCTTGGCATATGCTTTCTACATGAGCAAAGTGTCACTGATAGCCAGGGAGTCTCCTTTCACCTTTGATTTTATAAGTTTTGTGGGGTTTCCTTCGAGTGTGGAGAATAAAGGCATTTTTACACTTATAAGTGTTATCAATATATCCACTGTCATCTCATTTAAACTGGGAACATGAAAAAGAGCAGGATTAGAGACTAAGTAATGACCATAGTCAACCAAGCAGAAAATTTCAACCAATCCTGGCAACACCTTATACCCAAAAACTTAGCTTCATTATTTGAGACAAGTGCTTTCTCTAGTGCTGTTAACACCCACTTGAAACCCATGACATGCTACTGTGCTGAAATGGTTTGACTGTGTCCCCACCCAAATCTCATCTTGAATTGTAGCTCCCACAATTTCCATGTGTTGTGGGAGGGACCTAGTGGGAGGTAACTGAATCATGGGGGCAGGCCTTTCCTGTGCTGTTTTCATGATACTGAATAAGTCTCACATGATCCAATGGTTTATAAAGGGGAGTTTCCCTGAACAAGTTCTTTTCTTGCCTACCACCATGTAAGAAGTCCCTTGCTCTTCCACCATGATTGTGAGGCCTCTCCAGCCATGAGGAACTGTGTGTCAATTAAACCTCTTTCCTTTATAAGTTACCCAGTCTTGGGTATGTTTTTACTAGCAGCATGAGAACACACTGATACATGCACCTACAATCACTTTTTTGTTTTGTTGGTTTTTTTTCGTTTTTTTTGAGACAGAGTCTCCCTCTGTCACCAGGTTGGAGTGCAGTGGCATGATTTCGGCTCACTGTAACTTCTACCTCCAGGGTTCAAGCGATTCTTCTGCCTCAGCATCCCGATTACCTGGGACTACAGATATGCAATATCAGGCCCAGCTATTTTTGGTATTTTTAGTAGAGACAGAGTTTCACCATGTTGACCAGGATGGTCTCGATCTCCTGACCTCGTGATCCGCCCAACTCAGCTTCCCAAAGTGGTGGACGACAGGTGTAAGCCACTGCTCCTGGACAATCAGTTTTATTTATTTATTTATTTTTTGAGACAGAGTCTTGCTCTGTCACCCAGACTGTAGTGCAACGGCGTGATCTTGGCTCATTGCAACCTCCACCTCTCAGGTTCAAGCAATTCTCCTGCTTCAGCCTCCTGTGTTGCTGGGATTATAGGCAACCACTACCACGCCTGGCTAATTTTTGTATTTTTAGTAGACATAGGGTTTCACTATATTGGCAGGCTTGTCACAAACTCCTGACCTCAAGTGATCCACTCACCTGGGCCTCCCAAAGTGCTGGGATTACAGGCGTGAGCCACCATGCCCAGTCTAGAATCATTTTTAAAAGTGTTTTTTTGTCTGACCAAACACTGAATAACCCCTGTATTCACCTCTGTAAGGCCTGCTTGTTAAGCATGTTCCAGAGAGTAAAAAATAATAAAATATTTATTGTAGGTCCAAGTACAACACACATGTGTATGTCTAGACATCAGCATCTGCAGACATGTGGGAGTCCCAAAAGTCTACCTATTGCTTAACTTCTAACTTGGCTATAAGTGACTAACACTTATTCATTCATCTGCTCCAATTCACCTTCATTATGCAGTGAGTCAAAAAGCCCAGCATGATTCACCAATTATTTACATTGTTTAAATATTATAAGCCACCTTTGAAAGTTTTATTGTCCAGACAGTTTCATCTATAATTAAATCACTACTGTGCACACTTAAATCTAGGTATTATCTATGTATTAATTATTCCAGGACCATCCTGAGCCCACATGCAGGAAGACTGTGTTGCTGGAACTTCTTAAAGTAATTCACTATCTAACCAACCACAATTATTGGAAGAAAAAAGTTACACAAACACCAAATATATGTAGCAGAGATTCTGGTGGAAAGCAAAATACTATCACATCTTTAGACATTCATCAAAGGCAACTTTGAAGCTAAGGGAACAAAAAATGACCAGTCTCATCTTTAATTACTTATTAAAAACAATTCTAACAAATTCCAACATACACACACACACACACACACACACACACACACACACACAGTTCATTTAGCAAAACACAACATTCAGGCTGGGTGCGATGGTCACACCTGTAATCCCAGCACTTTGGGAGGCCAAGGCGGGTGGATCACTTATGGTCAGGAGTTTGAGACCAGCCTGGCCAACGTGGTGAAACCCTGTCTCTACTAAAAATACAAAAATTAGCTGAGCATGGTGGTGCACCTGTAGTTCCAGCTATTCAGGAGGCTGAGCACAAGAATCACTTGAACCTGGGAGGTGGAGGCTTGCAGTGAGCTGAGATTGCGCCGCCACACTCCAGACTGGGTGACAGAGACTCCGTCTCAAAACAACAACAACAAAAAACAAAAACAAACAAACAAAATTCATGAGGTTAATACCAGCAACTTCAGCTACCAATAATTATTAACTCTCCTTTAAGAAAACTAAAGTAGATTTGACCCAGAGAAAAGAAAGGCAACCCCACATTCCCTAGGACTTTCTGAGTTCCTCTCTGTGGAATTTTAGAGACTCACTGTAGAAGATAGGAATATTTCTGCTTACAATACAACTTATTTTGTTTCTTCAACTGGACAGTACTAGAAGCTTTACAAATGCAAAATCGAACATGCAGAAATGTATTTTTTGTCATAAGATAAAGAGCTTGATTAAATCATACAGATGAAAGTTGAATGATCAAGGATATGTTAAGAAGAATGCATACCTGCTCTTTGGATGGCACAAGGAGTTCTTCAATCATCATGCTGTCCCGTGCATAGGAGCTTCTGTTCAAGGTGTAAGACCTATCCGAACTGAAGGAGCGGAGGCTGTTGTATTTACAGTTAACCATTCAACAGTGGTAGATGATGATGAGATGAATAAAAGAAAATTAATGCATGCAACTTTAAGAACAGGCAAGATGGCTAAAAATATCAATGAAAGTGGTTCTCAAAAGGACACAGTGAAAAGTAAAATCCCTTATATTTGAGAAAACATCTTCCATGTAGACAACCTTATGATCAGATTTTGTTTAAAATTAGGCCAATTTTGAGAAGGTGAAATGCATGAAAACTTTGGATGTTTCACTATGAAGTTGAACCAACATGACAATTGAGAAGAACCAGATAACTCTAGATAGTTGATAGATTTTTCTAGGACAAGATCTTGTTAGAATGTTCCCTCTTTCTGGCCTATGTCTGCTTGACATGTGCTACTGATTGGAATTTTGTCTACTTTAAATGGATCTGTTTCTAAGTCTCTGGGACTTCATGAGGGCTCTGCTTTGTCGTTGCTACTCACAGAAAACATCAGAAGGAAGTAGTGTTGTGAATACACTTTGCATGATCCTCTTTGCCATCTTCCTGGCCTTGAGGAAACATTCAAATTCCCTGCATAGTTATTTGGTCTTCTCTGCAAATATTCTTTCTTTGCTCTACTCTTTTCTTCCTTGCTCCTTCAACTGTTCTTTCCAGTCTCTTTCAAATCCTCCGTTGGCCCTTGAACTTCTCAGATGCAGGTACCCTGATATCCTGATATGCCACTCATCACAGTGACCTCTAAACTAAAATTCAATAGAGGAAGGGCCCTTGGGAGAACAGTTCTGCCATGTCACTCTCATGACCTTGCACGTATTCACAAAAGTCATTCAGGCAAAACCGGAATTGAAGCTAATCTGGGTCTTCACAGAACACCTTGTGATCTTCCAGGAACTCAGAGGATGGAGGTTGGTGAGGAGCTTCCATGAGATCATCTGCAAGTCACCTCCCCATCTCACCTGGGAGGCTGTCATGAGATAGCTACTATCACTTTCTCTTTCTAATGATGTGGGAGGCTTCCTATTCTGCCCTCCTTGGAATAGAGCTGCAGAATATAAACCATTTAGCTGAAGTCTATAATTGGCTCTTCAGCAATGAAGTATCCACAGCTAGCATTGTAGACATTCAGCCCCTTTTGTTTTGGTGTCCTTTTAGGTGTAGGGGACAAGGATAATGAGAAGGCAGCACCTTTCACTTCTTCCTTTCACTGCCTATATGGTAAAAAAACCTTCTGGATCTAAAAGTGGCTTTTTGCATCTTTACCAGCTGAACTCCCGCAACTTTGGCTTTGGCCTTGCCTTTTGTGTGCTTGAGGGGGAAATAAAGAAGATACAACTAAGAGGTAAATAAGAAATGATTCTTTGCATAAGACAATTTCTTTTCCCCACTGCCTGCTATACTAAAGATAACTAGAAAGTGAGTATCCTTTTATCAAGGTACAGAGCGCCTCCTGATATTAGAGGCATCATTCTAAGAGTCTACACAGATAGGTAAGCACATTCTTCTAGGATTGGAGCCTTCACTTTCACCAGAATCTCAGACAGACCTCTCTTATCCCCACATAACCATCATTCTACAGAGTCATTATTTAGTGTATTCAGCAAAACTTAGAAGAAGACTATTATAAGCATTATTCCTGCACAGAGGAACTTATCTAGTAAGCCACATGACTCTGACCACTTGCACGGTCAGGCCCTCCATGCCCAATCATGGGACCCATTACTCTTTTCTTCCCGGTTTCAGCTGCAAGCCTTCCTGTCACTCCTGTTTCCAGTCTCTTACCTTCCCTCAAATACAGTAGAAGCTTCCTATAAGCAGGAATTCTCTCACTCAACACTGTCCAACAGAACTTTCTACTATGAAGGGGATGTGCTAAATCTGAGCTGTCCAATTAACAGTGGCTACTGGGCACTTGAAGAGTGGCTGGTGTGAATGAACAACTGAATTTAACTAGTTTTAATTTAAGTAACTATAAGTGGCTAGTGGCTACACTATTAGTGCAGCTTCTAAGTATTCATAACAATGTTACATTTTGCTCCAGTGGTGTGATTTGAAAGTCACTGGCCACTCTTTGCATTGGACATTCATTTCTTCAAATTATGGTCCTCATAGCATGATATGTTAACATTGGTGGTGTATGAAACAGTGTTCTGTGTGGACAAACACTTAAAAGTTTTAAAAAATAGCTGCCTATTCATTTTAATTTCAATTTTTAAATGCCTCTAAAATCTGTTGATACTTTTTAAACATCTAACATCTCCTCCTTTTTTTTTTTGAGATAGAGTCTCGCTCTGTCACCAGGCTGGAGTGCAGTGGCACAATCTCAGCTCACTGCAACCTCTGCCTCCCGGGTTCAAGCAATTATCGTGTCTCAGCCTCCCAAGTAGCTGGGACTACAGACGTGCACCACCAAGCCCAGCTAATTTTTACATTTTAGTAGAGACAGGGCCTGTAATCCCAGCACTTTTGGGGCCAAGGCGGGAAGATCATGAGGTCAAGAAATAGAGACCATCCTGGCCAACACAGTGAAACATCTCCTCCTTCTTTTAACTTATCTATGAGTGCCAACTGCAGAACAGAGCCCAGAATTGGGAGCTATCAACCGAAAGGCCTAAGGATGTCTTCGTTTTGCATAATGTCTAAAATTCCTACTGCTAATCATTCCAGACCAATTTAAATTAGACATTAGACATATGGAGTCAATTAAATCCATCAAGCTTCACTCTGAATCCTTAAGACTTCTAAGTACTTTCAGCCTAAAATTAAAGATTATTTGCATGGGGATTTAGAGAGCATTAAATTGCTTTTAACTAAGGCCATCTATTTTATTTGTAGCCATCAGTACACTCTAAGTGTTAAATATGGGAAGTGTTAGGAAAACATGCCTCAGAATTCTAAATTTATACTAATCTACCTAGCACAACTTAGCGACCAGCAAACAAACGGCCCTTCACATCAGGACTTTTTCTTCAAACCCAATGAAATTTCTTAAATTACTTCATGCATTATAAAAAAAACTTGTTAAGCGAAAGAAATTCCTTAAGTCTTTGGTCAATTTTGCGTAAGTAATATTTATTATATATTTAGTTTCTAGTTTTCTTAAAATCATGAAATTTTTCCTGATTTTTCTAAAGCTGAGCAGAAAAAAAAAAGCACATTGCAGCACATCACAGCACAGCACATCACATTACAATGCTAAAGAAAAGAAAATGAGAACATGAGCCAGGGAAGGGAAGAGAAACACTATAAAAGGGCCATGTCTTCTTACCTGATCTTGGGACTATTTTAAAGTATTTTTAGGAAAAAAAAAAAAAAAAAAAAAACACAGAAGAAATAGAAAGCAAAAAATCAGACAGGGAAAAAAGAAATAAGATGTTATGGTTGAATGAGTTACACATTTAATGTATTCCTTTTAAAATGTTACACTCAGAATATATTTTACTTGACAATACTCTAACTTTGTGCTTAAAAATATTGGCTTTATAGATTTTTTTTAAATTTGCCTCTGAGCATAACATGAGTCATCAAAGTAAAAAATAATGAGTTACAGATAATAGCAACAAATAATGGTGCAATCAAAATTAGAAGTGTGAAAGCCTTGGAATTATCTTAAGAAAAAAATTACAGGGTGATATTCAGGGCGATATTCTGGTTTCCTGTGTCACTGGAGGTCAGCTGCTACAGTTTTCTACGTAAAAATGATAGATCACAAAATGTGTCATGTATTATCAGAAGAAGAGAAGGCAAGCTAGTGATTGGATTTCAAAAGCTATAAATCTCTATAACATAAACAAGATCTAAAGGATCTCAAGAACCTTAAAAGTCCTACATATTTTCCATTTTAACTTGTTGCTATCTTTGATCACCTAAAATATTGCATGCTTTTTAAAAGTTACTTTTCCTCTTCCTGTTAATGACACCTGCTACGGTAGGATTTTAAGACCTTTTATAAATGTATTTATAAGGCAAAAGTTTTACTAAGCTATATGAGTTTCTAATTTCTACTTAAAAAAAAGACTAGAAGAAAAATCAATTCAATATCCATACTGGCCATACCAACTACACTGAGAATAAACTCCAGGGTTTACTTTGCAGGAAGTGCCATTATTAGACAATGAAACTTTTTACAACAGATCCTTAAACTATAGGAAAATGTCCTCAGGGCTCTGGCTTAGAAGGTTTAATCATTAGCTTTAAAATAACTTGACTGTCAGCAAACACCCTGTTAATCCACACTAGGGCAAAGAAGTCTCCAAATTCTGCACAAGGTTCTGTTTCTTTCAACCAGTGTCAGTAAAGTTTAAGGCAAGGTTTTCCCATACAAAACTTTTCCACTTCAGTTTTAAGAACTGAATTTGTCACCATTCCTCTCTGTGACTTTAGATAAATCACTGTCATACTTCTAACATGTCCCTTGTAAACAAAATAATGGAACAGTTTTAGAAGACATACTCAAACACTTGGTGGACAACTTTAACAAACATTATATAATTTTTTCAAAAACGCTCTCTTTTAATCATAAATGATTATTTCAGTAACAAAGAGAGAATAGTGAACAATCTATACACATATTTCTTACTTATTGGCAAATAATGGTTTTTTTCAGTATGGAACAAAACTTAATTTTGAAATATGTGACCCAGATTGGTTCTCCCAGTTTTGCCAATGAGCTCTTTTGCTACTGTGCAGGAAGCATGACTGCAAAGTGGGGAAAAAAGAACACACAATTAACATGTCCAATCACATGAAATTAACAACTGCAAACAACAAAAGAAAATAGCAGAGCATGTGTATTTACATCGAGAACATTTCACTAAATTCACATCTTCATCCAAAGAACACATTTTGGGATAATGCAAAAAATGAACATGATTTTGATTTATGACAAATCATGGTTAACTATGAAAGAGAGGAACAATGAAGTACCTGGCAGAACGTGCTCCGAGACTAAAGCCCATGTAACCCTCAGCAGGCAGGGAATCATCACCCAGTTCCTTAAGGTCCTGTGGCCCAAGATACTTGTCTGTGTCCCCCGTCATTGCATCTTCACCTGTAGATGTAGAGAGCAAGCCTACATCAAAAGCTTTTCTTTTGACTGTGTCAGCTGTGGAGAAAACCACTCCTTTGGTTATTAGCAAATCCCCAATTATTCACTTTCCCCTATCCCCTGGATAATTTAGAAGGAAAAGGCATAGGTAAAGGTTAGTACAGTTTCATGAGTGAATTTAAGTAGCGGAAACACTTCCTGGTAAAGTATGAATCTTAAAACATTACCCCTATCCCTTTGCTTCACCTTAAGCCTCGACTGACTAGAAAGGTGGATGTCTTATGTCAGAGTTTTCCTCACCTGACCTCACCCACGATGAGGGCAGCTTGTTTGAATGGACATGGATGGCAAAATAAGAACCACCTCTTCATTACTGTTCTTGAAATTATATATAGGAAGGAAACAGACATTTTTTAAAAAACGGTTTTCTCACACACAGGATTTCAGTTCGGGGCTTATGTAAGAAAGTAGCAAGTTATGTGAACTACAACTTGCTTGGTCGGAGAGCCTTAGAACACATCAATTTTGAACTGATTCTAAACCTATCAAATTAACAACAGCCCAACTGCCCCAGTGCTTCAAATCTACACGGAAAGCAACGACACCTTCTCCAGAGATAATATGGGTGCTTTAGTACTTTCAAGGGACTATATAAATTGCTCTTTCATTATCAAGACAAAGAGTATGTAAAATACTTTTACTAGCTACGTGTGCAAAACATGACCTCACACGGAAAAACCACATTCCACGAGTGACAAGGCAGGTTTTTCGATTGTATTTTGCCCTCTGGGACATTTCCCATCCTTCTCAAAAGGTAGCACAGGCTGTAGAAAAGTTCCTTCCCCACTGGGCAAATTCTGTTTCTTATGACTCTTATCTTCTTTCTGGACACAAGCTTTACTGGCCAAAGAGTTTTTAAAAGGGTCCATGTTGTGTTTTCTCAAAGGTAAGTGATTCATTCCCCCCAGCTATATTTTCCAATTCCTACATTAGGTACTGTTTACAATTTCCATTCATTTAAACTCAGGAAACCACAAGAGCTCAGCTTTTAAACTACCAATCTAGTCTAAAAATACACTGTCAACTACTGTTTTTGCAAATGTAAAAACTAAACAGATCAACTTTCTACTGCTGCTACCCCTTACTAAGAGATTATTTTAAGTAACTGTTTACGGCTGGGCTATTTGCACATTCACTGCATCTCAAACAAAAACAGCACACGGTAAGCACAACTCAAAGATCTTACTCTGCGGCAAAGCCATTTCCACTAGGCTTGGATGATCAAATGTTTTCCTGATGTTTCCAGGAATTCCTTAAGCAGTGATTCAGAATCAACCTCCAGACCAGCTCAAGCAAACTAATCCCTGGTTTGTATCCACTCTCTTCACCACCGCCGAATTCCTCTCAGCATCTTGATATCCTCGTAGGCAACTGAGGAATTACACATCTTTTCCCACTCAGAGTTCGAAGATTTTCAAAATTTCGGGTCCCCCCAAAAATCTTTAAAAAAAAAAACCCACTTAATTGAGATCAAGATCCTTTTGATCACTCCGCAGACATCCTTTTAAAGCTCCTCCTGATTGGATTAAAAACTCCTCTGGCAAGCCTCTAGCAGGACAGAATGGTGACATAAATGCAAGCCCCTGAGTTATTTGTATGTAAATATGAGGACTGCTCCGGTGTAGACTTTCGGTAATTTGATACCAAGGTTCGGTGCCTGGCCGGGTAACCGAGACAGCCTTCTGGTAGTGAGAGAGCGAAGTGCTACATTTAATTAGGAGGCGACTCTTGAATGAAGAAACAGCCAACCCAGGTAGAAGAAAAACATTAGAAGAAAACGAAGCAGTGGCCCAGGCGGGGAGTGGCACCGAGTGCTCCAGGCAAACTTTCAACTTTGTTCTCAGCTGGGAACACTGGAAGCCTCAGTTATTTATGGTCCCTGTCAGGTGGAAGGAGGGGAAAAAGAGAGAGGGAGGGCCTGCCCTTGAGTTGAGGTTGTGAAACAGGGCTGAGGAAAGCAGCAGTGCTTCCCATAACTCTCCAAGAAGCGCTTTGCAATACACTCATTGCCACTGCTTTTTCTCAAGAGTTTGAGGAAGGGAGGAGAAGTGAGACAAGTTGGAAAAAGCAACTGGTTGTTCTGTTTTATTTTTGGACCAAGTTCTTTCAACTACTTGATTCACCAGTGCTCTCTCTCGAGATGCCAGGTCCCTGGACGAAGTGCAAAGCAAAGGGAGAACTGGGGTTGGCTGGAGAGGTCTCTGTTGCCCCAGGTAGGAGGCAGGGCTGAGGAGGTCTGTCATTTGGCTGTTACACTGTTTCTTTCTCTCTCCACTAGTGGCCTTCCTTCTCAGCTGCTCCACCCTGTTTGTGTTGGCAGTGAAGGAAAAAACTAGCAGGACTTCCCCATCTTCCATCTGGGTACACTGGAGAGGCCATTTCAATTACTTTTTTTTCCCAGAATAGCTGGAGAATTGAGCTAGAAAGTAAAGGGTTTAGAAACTGCCTTGCTGAAGTAAGCACTCCTTTATAAGAGCACATTTGTTCCCTTGGAATGTTATCTAAATATACAGGATTCTGAATCTGTAGAACTGATAAAGTGGGGAATAAATTTGTTTTCCCTGGATAGATGCATAAATAAATAAATAAATGCATGATTCATAAAAATATTAGGGTGCTATGACACCTGGTGTTTTACTCTGATCAGCCTGGGTGATCAACATCGTAAATACACAGAAATATAAAGGAAGCCATTTATAATGTCTGGAACATAGTTAAAACTATTCCCAAGCGGAGAATAATTTCCAGCTTTTAAAAGAACAGAAGGGGAAGTATTGCTTAAAGAGAAATGTCTGAATGTTCATCGGCTCTTCATGTCTGCATTTAGAATCCAAACTACAGTACTTAGCAAAGCCTTGTTCAAAGACTGTCATTCATTCCAGTTTCTCAGCAAGGCCTATGATGCAATGTTCCTTCCATTGACTTCTTGGCTATTTTTCCTTCTGGGCTATTCTTCCACACCCACCTTCCCTCCTGTTATACATAATTTTTTCAGTCCCTAGAAGTCCTTAAACTCTTTAAACATTGAGCCATTACTAGCGTGTATTCTCTTGATGGAACCTTTCTCCGTGTTTTTTAACCAGATGAATTTCTCTAATCTTTGACTCTTTCTAGAAGTCCTTTCACCTTCTACTCACCATTAGGTGTCCCTCATCAGAATGTATTGCCAGAGACATCTGCTTAGTCTCTCCCGTTGGCTGCTGAGATCCCCTAAATTAGGAGCCATATTCTTCCTAGGCCAGGTACCATGGAAGTTCCATAAATAATCTTGGAATCCACAACTGGTAATAAACATATTTTTATTTTTATCTTTTAAATCTACATGCCATGGCAACTTAGCACTCTTTTCAAATATTAAGCTAAATGACTGGTATATAGTAAAATTTCAGTGAAAGAAAGTAAGTGTCCATTATTCTTTAGCCATACTTCTTAGACTTCAGAAATGATCACTGTGAAACCAAAAGATGTCTGGAGTAGGGGTGGGTGTTGTTAATACATTTGGCCAAAGATTAATGAAAATAAAATAACCTTATATTATTAAGTACTTGTTCACTTACCATTTTAAAATGGTGAGAACATTTCTTAAAAGATGTGGAATTTAGAAATAAAAGCAATGTTTTTTTTTTTTTTTTTGCTCTTGTTGCCCAGGCTGGAGTGCAATGGTATGATCTTGGCTTACCACAACCTCCACCTCCCAGGTTCAAGTGATTCTCCTGCCTCAGCCTCCTCAGTATCTGGGATTATAGGCATACACCACCACAACTGGCTAATTTTTTTGTATTTTTAGTAGAGACAAGGTTTCTCCATGTTGGTCAGGCTGGTCTCAAACTTCCAATCTCAGGTGATCCGCTTGCCTCGGCTTCCAAAGGTGCTGGGATTATAGGTGTGAGTCACCACGCCTGGCAGCAATGGTATTATTTTAATGCTGTTTCACACAGTAGGTGCTCTAGGTTCAAATCCAAGCTGTACTATGCATTGACTGGGTGACCTTTGAAATACCATTGAACTACTCTGAGCCACAGTTCCAACCTCTATAAAACTGGGGGTAATGAGTCTGCCTCTACACTAAGGCCTCCTGGGGAGATTTAAATGAAATAATGCACAAGTAAGGGCTTAATCAGCACTATGACTATTATTCTGTAGCACAGCTTTTTCTAGTGCCCAAATATCTGAATGCATTTACTCAAAGAGTTAGCATTTAAATTGCTACTATTTATACTGGTGAAGGCACAATTCAACCACAGCAGCAAAGTGTCCCTGATCTCCATTACTTACAATAAGACAGGCACTGTGTTAGGTAATCACAAAATCTGTTAATTGAATGAATGAATGACCAATAACAACAAAGTTCATTCCCACTCCTTTCAATAAACAAAACATTCTGTCATTATTAGATAGTACAATATGCTACTGTAACAAAGATTAGAAAGGAATGAGATGAATTGTATTATTTGTTAACTTTATATAATCCAAGCATATTTCCGCTAGTGGCAGCTTCTAACAGGTGTGTATAAGCCAACCAAGGTAATTTTATTAACAGATGACATGCATTTTATGTCAGATATATTCTGCTTAAAAATATGCTACCAAGAGTCACATATTTTCACTTACTAAAAAGGAGTTGTGTATGTTTATGTTTCCTAGAAGTATTTGGTACAGTAGAGTAATAGTTGTGTTGTAGAAGAATTTGACTATTTTTTGGCAAAGAGGATTTTGGTAGCTCGTCTTCAAAATGCCCTCCTCACTCCTACCTCCAATGAACTATGTCTCCTTCTATTCACTCCCTTATGTAGTACCCTTACTTGAATCTGGGTTGGCTGGAACTCTGAACAGTAAAATTTGGCAAAGCGATTCTGCATGAATAAGTTTGTGTTCAAAGAAACCTTGCAGACTCCTCCAGTCTCTTGAAACAGTGGTTTGGGGGAAGCCAGTCCCAGTATAAGAAATCTGACTATGATGATAGTACCATGTTATAAATAAGCTGGTAGCCATATGGAGAGGCTGCTTAGAGCCAGAGAGCCAGAGAGAGCCAGAGAGAGAGAGAGAGAGAGAGCGAGCGAGAGAGAGAGAGCGAGAGAGACAGAGAGAGAGAGAGAGAGAGAGACAGAGAGAGAGAGAGATGCCCAGACAATCCTCAGCTCTTCCTGCCATCCTAGCTGAGGTGTCAGTCTTTAAATGAAAACACCATCTTGGACATCTGGTCACATTCCTCCGCCTCATCTACTATCTGACTGCAATCTCATAAAAGATCCCAAGAGTCAGTTGAGCCCCAGTTAACTCACGGAACATGGGAGATAATAATACCTTAAATCACTGAGTTTGTTGGGGGGCTGTTACTTTGTAATAGGTAACAAATACAAAAATGAGAAATGACAAGGTCCAAAGGTAAGCCACAGAGATCACATTCTGGTTGCCTAATGTATCACTGATAAATTAGAGTTAGCTCTGTAGGGCTTTAAATGATGTGTATACACAAAGCCCAGGAGTACAGTGGCAAATGCCACTAGAGAAGGCCTCACTCACTTAGTACTGATTTATGCATTTTGAAACTTTTATCTTGAACACTGACATTCTTATTGTTAATCTACTTCTGTCAATAACTTATCAGAGCCCAGAAATTATTTTAAAAAGAACACAAAACACCCCAAATTTACATGATCCCACCATTAACCAATGAATAAAAGCTGGTCAAAGGCATTTTACGTCAACTACTCAGCTGTCTCCTCTTCCCAGTCCTCCCTATATCATGACTAGGCTGAAAGAAGAGATTCCCTACACCATAATCAACCATTCAAAGATCCATAAACTTTGTCAGCCAGGAAAACAATACAAAATAGAAACAGGAACAAAGGAGAGAGAGAGAGTACATTAAATGATTATCAGGACTGTGGTGGTCCAAATATGTGTGTACCTTCATTGCTTTTTAGATTCCAGGTCAGTGGTCCAGTACATGGTGTAATATACCAACCCAGCATCCATGCAATCTTTCATTATGCCCACTAATGACCCTTTTTCATGTCGAATAAAGTAAACAGTTATTGGCCTAATATTTAAAAGCGTTTTCTTATCCTAGAAGTTCTTTTCTTCCTCCACCCAATGTACTTCTCCTCTAATCTCTTTCCAGCTTAAGACCATCACCAAGGAAAACTTTTGCCACTTTTCCGGGGACTGAAAGCTATTTTCCCATCTGGCTGGAGGCTTGAGTCATAAAGATCCTTAAGATAAGGATACCAAATCGTATTGTTAGAAACTTTGCTCAGAAGTGTTTGATTCTGCTGTAAAATACAGAATCTCCAGTATATAGTTTAAATTAATAGTTAATAGTACAGACCAAATGAGTTAATAGTACAAGCCTCCAAATTACAGAGGATTAAAAAGATTAGAAAGAATAAAAAGAAACAGTGTCTCTATACTTTACTGATTTATTAGAAGTTGGTTTCTTAATAGAACTCAGCAAATAGTCTAATGCCCAAGAGGTTAATGATCAGATGACTTAAATTTGCTGTTGCTTATGCTTTAGAAAGTGATTTTCTTTGATCAATAGAAAAGAGAGGAAATGAAAACTATTGGGAAAACAAATCCTTTATTTCTGGTCAGCATTACAGAACAGTAGAATCCGATCAATTATCATAATTAAAACTAACATTTATTGAGCATTTACTATGTTTTAGGCGCTGTGTTTGGTGTTTTATATGTATTATTTTATTTAATTCTCACATCTTAAAAAACAGAATTATTATTTCCATTTCACAATAAAGAAAACACAGTTGAGAGTAGTGGAATAAATAATCCAAGTTTACTTAGAATATAGAAAAAATGTGATTCAAAATCACTTGATGTCACTCTAGAGCCCTTCTTTCAACTAACACAGTGGGCTGGCCATACAAAAGTTAAGATACTACTGAATGAATATTACAAGAAATTCATAACCAAAATGTAAGCTCCATGTGGGCAGGGAGGGTTTGTTTGTTTTGCTCCATATCATTGCCCAGAACAGAACCTGGCACATAGTAGGTGCTCAATAAATGTGGAATGAATGAAAGAGCAGTGATTGCCTTTCAAGATGGGAGCTATATTTACTGGGGCAAAGAGGAGGGAGACTTACTTTTCACTGTAAATTCTTGCACCTTGGGAATTTTGTACCTTGTGCATCTATTACCTATTCAAAACACGAATAAAATTAACAAAATAAAACAAAACAAAATATAGGGACTGCAGATAAGTCTTATAAACTCTATGTTCCATCCACCAGAAACAATATTGTGACTTACATAAGTCTGCCATGTAGACACGAAGATGTGTACATGTACTAGTGGATAACCAGCAATCAAGCAGAGGGAACACTCGATACTTTGATATTCTACCTTACATGCCTCTTTAAGAGATGGAACAGTAAAAGTGAAGTCACAAGGCAGAAAGAAGGAGATGCACACTATTAATGTGGTACTTCTAGTAGTTTCAGGGGTATATGTGCAGGTTTATTACACGGGTAAAGGCAAGTCACGGGGGTTTGGTGTACAGATTATTTCATTATCCAGGCAATGAACACAGCACCCAACAGGTAGTTTTTTGATCCTCACCTTTCTCCCACCCCCTCCCCCAAATAGGCCCCAGTGTCTGTTGTTGTTGTTCCCTTTTTTTTTTGGAGACATAGTCTCACTATCGCCCAGGCTGGCGAGCAACAGCACAATCTCAGCTCACTACAACCTCTGCCTCCTGGATTAAAGCAATTTTCCTGCCTCAGCCTCCTGAGTAGCTGGGATTACAGGCACCCGCTGCCATGCCTGGCTAATTTTTGTATTTTTAGTAGAGATGGGGTTTCACCATGTTGGCCAGGCTGGTGTTGAACTCCTGACCTCAAATGATCCACCTGCTTCCGCCTCCCAAAGTGCGCCCAACAAAGATTATATCTCATTCAACATTTAGACCATAAATTCTCAGCCTACAGAATCCAAATAACTGTATTCGCTCACATTACTATTCCGTTGATCTCCTGACATTTTCATGCTCAAAAGAACAAGGAAGCAGGAGTAAGAAAAGGAATTATGGTAGGATTAGGATCCTGATCCACACTCAAACTTGAATTCTAAAAGTCTAATTCTAGCTCAGAGTTACAGAATAGTTGGTGGGAAAGTCACTTAGATGGCAGATCTGCATGTATTTCTCCTCTCATTTTTCAGTTTGGAGCAAGAGCTTGGGTTAAGTAAGGTTTCCTGTGAATATTCTGAGAGGTGATAAAAAGCAGGAGGTGGTGTTTGGAGGATGGGATTGTGCCATCTACTTCAGGAGGTTCCTGAGTGTACCCCAGGTACTTCTGTGTCAGGCTGGAGAACCTGCAAGCCTTGCAGTGGAGATGCTGCAAGCCCAGCTCATCAATGTACCTTCTGGCAGGACTGGAGGCTCAGAGAAAAGTTGACAGCCCTATGTTCAAGGGATAGAATAGATTGAGCAGTTACTTCCTGCCCCCTTCACTCTCCACCTCTCCTCTCCATAGGGAGAAGGAAAGGATTATTTAGGGGATGGGAGAGAGGGTCTTCACTTTAACCCTTTGCCATCATATGCTGGCCATAGTCGTCATTCTTTTAAAACATAGGTTAAGTGCTAGAATATACTTTTGATGTGGCTTGGCTCTGTGTCCCCACCAAATCTCATGTTGAATTATAATCCCCAGTGTTGGAGATGGGGGTTGGTGGGAGGTGACTGGATCACATGGGTGGATTCTCATAAATGGGTTAGCACCGTCCCCTTGGTGCTATTCTTGTGATGGTGAGTGAGTGAGTTATGAGACTTGGTTGTTTTAAAGTGAGGGGCAGCTCCCCTTCCTCTCTCTTCCTTCTGCACTGGCATGTAAAGTACTGGCTCCCCCGTTGCCTTGAGCCATGATTGTAAGTTTCAGAGGCCTCCTCAGAAGCAGAAGCTGCTATGCTTCTGGTGCAGCCTGCAGAACCATGAGCCACTTCAACCTTTTTCCTTATACATTACTCATTTGCAGGTATTCCTTTATAGCAGTGTGAGAATAGACTAATACTACTTTCTTGCTTTCCTTCTGAAAATGGGTGTTAATTATGGAGTAAGTTGAGGAAACAATTAAATGAGCGTTGGGTAACCTAACAAGGCGGAAGAAGTGTGTTCTCACTTTAAGCGGTGCATGTGCCTCCTGCGTGAGGGCCATCGACAGCATTCCGCCTTCCTGTCCCTAGTTCTAGGAGCTCATGGCATTGTAGGCAGCCAAAAAAGAGTCAGGTTTGAAATGACAAAGTTTGCACACCTCTGAAAGAACAACGAACTGCCATTATTCATTCCACAGAACAAATGACTTTCTGCTTAAGCTACTTTTTTGAGTACAAAGTCAATTTGATTCTTTTTCTACCTCTTCACAGGAAAAACCTGAATTCTCTTTCCTTTCTGGGATGGGTTTGTTTATTAACCCAACCAAGATCAGAGAGGACATTTTTCATGGCTCCACCTGGAAAAGTTCCAACCCTGAGTCATGCATACTTACTTTAGAAACTGTATCTAGCTGGGATTAAGGAGCAGTAAAGTGCTATACAGGTTTTAAAATGAAGCACATTTAGCCACAAAGCACAGAATAAAGAGAATTCAGGTTTTTTTATGAAGAGGTAGAAAAAGACAATGTTGGGACAGACACTATAATTTCTTCGTATTCTTTCTTATTAGTACTCCCTAACTCTGATGCAGAAATTCCTTTAGTCCTCTAAAGACTAAACACCACACTGACTTGGTCAAAGGAGCACTGAAGTCTAAAGACACAATGCAGGTAGAAAGAAGCACAGGATTACTTACACTGTTCTTATTATCTAAACTCTCAGCCACTTGTGAAGAAGACTAGACAATGAACTAATTAACTAACCACAAACTAGCCCTGAGAAATCAGGCACACAAATGTTGGTTCTCACTTGCGGAGAAATTAGGAAGCTAAATTCAAGGTGGCAGTGTCATAACAGCTCATTCTTCCTATTCATTCTTCCCTAGCTGTTTGTCTAGCCTCAACCCCAAATCCAGACCTTATTATTCTTATCTCTTCATTGCCTAGGCACACAAAGACCATGAGTACAATACAGGAACATATTCATCACCGTTCCCAGCTATAAAAAGTACAGGCTCAGGTATAAACAGGGATTTTGGCCTTTCCTTTCTCTTACACCCAAACTGCCTATCATTGTGCCAGGCAATAAACACCCATTTATTGGTTTGCTTTGCATTTCCAACCTATACCTCAAAGATGTGTACACACAAGGCAAAGACACATGCATCCTGTCCTCAGCTCTCATCCTCATTGGGATTCTGGACTTCCCCTTCCCATTTGGACATCTTTCCTGGGCTCTTCTCACTCCTACTGCTCCCAGCTCCCTGTGTACCTCCCTGTCTATCCCTTGCTCATCGTTCTCACTGTTGTGTTCTCTGAGTTAATGAGGGGGCTACCACGTGGTCACATGAGGACAACCTCCCACAGGAAGCAGGTCAGAATTTTCAGGTGGATGGGAGGGACAGACACAATTTAGAGGGGGGAAAAATATTCAAAATTAAAATTTGTTTGGAGCAAATAAAAGAAAAAAAACTACAAAAGCCTGTTGTTTGCAGTTAAACACGCACACAATTTCTTGTCATCTCTTAAATATTCCATAGGCTGCCCTAGCTCCCCGGCTACTTTTTGTATTTTTAGTGGAGACAGGGTTTCACCATGTTGGCCAGGCTGGTCTCAAACTCCTGACGCAGGTGATCTACCCACCTCAGCCTCCTGAAGTGCTGGGATTACAGGCATGAGCCACCGCGCCAGGCCTCCTATACCACTTGGGCTCATCTGATTGGAACTTTCTAGGAAAGTTCTTCCCAGGCTTCCTCTAGCTTCCACTCCTCAGGGTTTCCCCTTCATCCTTCACCACTCCATCTCCATGTCCATTAGCATTCCTCTTCTTCTTATCTGTGCCCAGAGTTTCCTAGAACTTCTTCCCTTCCTCCCTGTGTGCTGCCCTGGGGACCTCATCTGGTGCCTGGGTCTGCACCCTTGTCCCCACTCCTGTGTGCTGAGCTCTCCTGGGGGCGCCTGTGCCTTTCTGTCTCTGATGCTTTGACCAATGAGTTTTCTAAATTTGAAACACCTCTACCCAATCACCCTTCTACCAAACCACCCTTCTACCCCTGCAAAATTTCTGTGTTTCCAAATCCTATCTATTCTTTAAAACGCCTTTCAAGTTCATTTTTGATAATCTCCCTGTCTTTTAAATTTTCTAGTCACTTGATCTGTTATTCTCTTACAGTACTTGATATGGCTTGGATGTCTGTACCTTCCAAATTACATGTTGAAATTTGAGCCCCAGTGTTGGAGGTGGGGCCTAGTGGAAGGCATTTAGGTCATAGGGGCAGATCCCTCATGAATGGCTGGATACCCTCCTTGTTGTAATGAGTGAGTACTCACTCTATTTGTCCATGCAAGAGAGAGCTGGTTAAAGCGACTGCCACTTCCTCCTCTCTCTCTTGCTCCCTCTCTTGCTGTGTGACATTCCTGCTCCCCTTTCTCCTTCTGCCATGAATAGAAGCTTCCTGAGGCCTCACCATAAGCCAAGCAGATGCTGGTGCTATGCTTGTACAACCAGCAGAACTATGAGCCAAATAAACCTCTTTTTTATATAAATTACCCAGTCTTGGGTATTTCTTTACAGCAATGCAAAACAGACTACCATAGCATCTCATTGAATAGAAAGCCTAAGCCAAAAAAATCTAAATGCAAATTCTAGTTTCTGTAACTGTATGAACACGAACAAATATCTTAAACTCCTTGAAACTGACTCCTTAATGTAATTAAGACTAATACTACTTTAAATTAGGGTATTAAATTTGAACAAAATGGAAATTAGGAGTAAAAATAGGATTAATAATGATGTTTGGTACTTTAAGAGAAGTAAAAAGATAAAGTATCAAGTAAGTGACATTTCCTGAGCTCTTACCACATGCCAAATTCTAGGCTAAATGCTTTTTATATATCTCATTATGTATACTTCAACTGTCTGTTCCCTCCAAATCTCATGTTGAAAAGTGATCCCCAGTGTTGCAGGCAGGGTCTACTGGGAGGTGTTTGGGTCATGGAGATGGATTCCCCAATGAATGGCTTATGCCATCCCCTCAGTAAAGAGTGAGTGC